TGCCTAAATGCACTGAGTTGCCGCCATGTGATTGGCTGATTAGAAATTAAGTGTTAACGAGCAGTTGGACAGGTGTACCTAATAAAGTGGCCGGTGAATTTATATGATATGCTTTGCATTGTTTTAGCCTAATATAGGCCTATTAACAAAACAAAAAAACTTTGTTCTGTAAGTGTGGCGGCAATAATTTTTGCCGTGGTGATGCGCCACGATCAGTTACATGCAGGGGAAACCCTGTTTTGTCATGGTGATGGATAACTGAGGCAAACTGAAACCGTTTATTAACCATTTATTCTGGGGCGCCTGTGGTGGAGTGGTTAGGGGAGTCGTCCTGGAACCGGAAGGTCACCGGTTCAATCCCCTGCTCCAGCCAACTCAGTCGCTGTGTCCTTGGGCAAGACAATTCACCCGCTTGCCTGCTGATGGTGGTCAGAGGGTCCGGTGGTGCCAGTGCATGGCAGCCCCACCTCTGTCAGTGTGCCCCAGGTCAGCTGTGGCTACACTGTAGCTTACCATCATTAGTGTGTGAATGGGTGAATGTCTGTAAGTGTAAAGCACTTTGGGGTCCATGTGGATTTGACATGGCGCTATATAAGTTCAATCCATTGACCATATTATAAACCTGTAAACTTTGGTTTGTCTGTTTTTAATCAGATTTTTACTGCTCTTGTTTGAACACTTTGAATAAAAATAAAATAAAACAAGCGCTTTATGGTTTTGTTTTTCAGGATTATTATACAATAATCAAATGTCCAATGGATCTGGGCACTATCAAGAGTCGACTGCAGAACAGATATTACTGGGAAGCATCAGAATGTGTGAAAGACTTCGAAACCATGTTCTCAAACTGTTATAGGTACAACCAGGTAAGAAAACTTGTATTGTATACAACGGTGTGTTTATACAGAACGAAGTAATGTCGCTTCCTTCTCCTTCAAAAAGCAACTCTCCTTTTTTCAGGCTCAGGATTTTTATAGAGTAAAACTGCTAGTTAGCATAAAAACAATAGTTGTAATAAAAAGCGTTCAGTGATGTGGCTGGCAGAAATGTAAAAAGATGACCGTTTTTGTTTGCTTCTCTAAACAGAGTGGAACAATAAAAGGGATAAAGTAAATTATTTTAAGACTCCTGCAGCCACCTTGAAAAAATGCTGCCAAATATCTTTAGTTTTATGTAAACCTTTTTTTGGTTTAACTCATGACAAATATCCAAAATAGAAAAATGAGGCAATTTAATGAAGGAAAAACATGATAAATGTGAGACATCTACAGTACATTGTGGTGATTCTTTGACACATCAGGTCACTGGAGGTGTCATTTGTCCAATCTGATTTCATTTTGTATTAAGTTTTTATTTTTAAGCTATAACAGTGCTGCTCGTAGACTGACAGTGACAGTAGCTGACAGACCATAAATTGTGTGCACTTAAAAGCCTCAGAGCAGCTGCACTTCTGCTTGAAGCAGTTTTCTTAGCAAACACAAAGATTTTCATTCAGCCTAAATGGAGAGGTTGTTTCTCCCCAAAAGGAGGCAGAAACATTGCAAAGAGGCAAAGCATTCAGATGAGTTGCTCTGCTTTTAGAATGCCACTTTAGAAGTTGGTCTTAAATATTTACAATAGCTTTCAGAACAAACTTGTTTATTGAAATATAAGTTTATTTTTCTGTGCTAAGAAGTCTTGGAAAGTATATACAATATCTTTTTTTGGCTTAAGCAGAATTGTGATATTTTGTGCTGCATTCAGTTCCTTTGTTTTCTTCTGTTTTCGATGTGCAGCCTAGAGACGACGTTGTTGTTATGGCACAGGCCTTGGAAAAAGTTTTCTTGCAGAAATTGTCCAAAATGCCAAGTGATGAAGAGTTGATCACTACAGTGGAGCCAGTTAAAGTGAAAAAGACAAATGCAGGTGTGTGCAAGACATTAATATTAAATATGTTTTGTAAAGTCGATTTTGCAAAATAAACTCAAGCATTTTATCTTGTGCAGTATCTTGACAACTTTCTACCTTATCCCCTGTTCATGTTTTCACTGTGCTTCTCTTGGAAGCAGGTTCAGTAAAGCAGAGATCCCAAATGTCAGAAGATGTTCTGAAGCAGACGGTAACGTTTCTTCCTCCTGCTGTGCCTCAGATCAACACACCCAACCAGCTGTCCGCAAAAACCACAAAAACGGTAGGGTTTATTCTGACTGAGAGGGAAACCATTAGATATTGTATTCACTTAAGATTTAAAGGTCAAATGAAAGGAAAACAATATGTACTTTCATATTTTTGCATTAATACAGTGTTTTATTTAAACTTCTGAATTAAAAATTTCATAAATGTAATGAAAAAGCATTAATTTTCACCTGTTAAACGAGGCTACGGAGCAGAACCAAAAATCATAATTCTTGTTTCTGAGATGTACAGCTGTTTCTATGTGACGTCACTCAGGACAAACGACATCGCTGCTATCACAACCATCTCTGATACTGAATTGGATTTCGCTACATAACTAAATATAAAAATTGTCCAGCCAAACCGATATTAGGTAGTCACACACAGTGGAGTGTGGACTGACGAAGTGGACTGTCAGGATTTAAACTGCATGAAGTTGGTTAGGGCTGGGTATCCATTCAGATTTCCCAAATCGATTCAATTCACAGGGGCCCAATTCACGGTTCAGTTTGATTTTTAAATTAGATAACGATATCAAGCAGTAACACGTTTACTCTGATATAGAAGACATTCTCAAAGGAACTAATTCTGCAAACAGTAGAAACTAATTCTAACTTGGTGCAATGATGAAATTATAAACATTAAGGGCAAACTTGTAAATTGGAGTTTAATCTTGAAACAAAACTGTCTCGAGTTTCAAAGGGTTTAAACTAAAAAGGAATTGCAAGAGAAAGTGTTGTTGATACATTAGTTTTTTAAGAAACTAAGAATAATTTTCTTGATCACTAAGAAGTGATAGAATAAGGTTACAGGAGAAGAGGTGGGCAAATATAAGGGTATACTTCTGCCCACTAGGGATGGGCGATATGTTATCATGTGCGATATACCGTCCAAGATATTCACCATGGTAATTATTTGTCATCTCGCAATTAAAGATGATAAACTCCCACCGTCTGCCGTCAGGCTTTACATGCCTCCCCTCCAGGTTAAGCTTCATTTGTTTACTCAGAGCGGATGTCGACACACGGAGCATGTGCTAAAATAGCAAAGCTAAAGCTATCATAACGACTCTCAATGTGCAAAAACACAGTCAAAGTCATCTAAAAACTCATAAGAGTTCAACAATATGTTAAAAAACAACAGGATGGGGCAGCTTCAACTTGCTGGACCCACAAAATAACACAGCTCCTCTGTCCCATCTGCAAACTGCACGGCTCGTCTCTCTCTCTCTCTCTGTCTCTCTCTCTGTCTCTCTCTCTCTCTCCACTCACACAACTAGCCCCTCCCTCCCCTGAACATTAACCAGGGTTCCCACGGGTCCTTGAAATCCTTGAAAGTTTGTGAATTTGAAAAAATAATTTCAAGGCCCTTGAAAGCTCCTGAAAACAGCTAAAATAGCCACCTGTCCTTGAAAGTCCTTGAATTTTTGGAGGGGGGGATTTGAAATTGATGATGACCGCTGTCAATATGTGATCATTGTTTTTATTTATTTATTTTTTTGATTTGTTCTGCGCTTCTGTTTCCTGTATAGTGTGTATAAACGTGTGCCTAACAGTATGCAGTCTTCTCGAGAGAGATTACGTGAATTGCCAGTCACATTTCAGAGTCGAGTTCCGCACGATGACATTCCTGGAAAATGTAAATTTCAGGACGCCTGGTTTGCCAAAAAAAAAAAAAAACTATTCTCACAATCATTTGCCCTGTGACTGTCTCACAAATAAAATGTGCAACTAAAAGTGCTTTAAAATATTTAGATTAGGAAGTGCAGACTTGATAGATTTTTCTTGTCAAATGTTTATTGATTCACGAATAGATGATCTTAATGAGCATTTGAAGCTTATATTAGGCTTTGAGAAGTCAACCATTTTGCAACACATTTGCTGAAGAGCTTTAAGGCTTTGACAAGGCCTCATCTCACGAGACACATCTGTGTATTGTGATTTGAATGTAGGCTAAGAATATTTTGAAAGTAGCGACTATATATTCAATATACCTTTTTTCATTGATTCAGACTCAACAACTTCTACACTGTTCAGTTTTTCATTGAATTTACATTGTGTTATAGCTGTTTATTGGTAACATTCTACGGTAGCAGTAGGTAATTGCCGTTGCACGTGGTTCTTGAATTTGAGGAAATTGGTACTGGAAAGTCCTTGAAAGGTCCTTGAATTTGATGTTGACCAAGGTGTGGGAACCCTGATTAACCCTTTAGGGAACAGATATTATAGGTTTACTTCCCAGAGCAGCAAAACACATTTTCAGTGATTAGTGAAAAGTCTTTTCTTATGGTTTTATTTTCTTATTATATTACTGATATTTTACAAGGGTTCTTCTGAGGTTTTACAAAAATAATGATTAGTAGAGGATGTGATTTGAAGATTTATCATATCAGCCTTAGTCCGTTATTATTGGCAAGTTTTGCTGTTTACACCATTTAAATCAATGTCAAATTTGTTCTCATATTTCAGTCTTGTTTTGATGGGTGCCAGTTTTGCAACACAGGTGTCCTACTAGAACTTAATGTAGTTTAGTGACTTCTAGTATTTTAGGGTTCTCAAGACAGAATGTAGTGACAGATTTATAAAGTGAAAGATTAGGCTGATGTATATCTTTTATTGTCACTTATCATTATCGTGATAAACCATAGAAATTATCGCCTATCCCTACTGCCCACTCTTTAGAGCGTATGAAAATTGTGTATTTGTAATGTTTCTGTTACCTTCTGTTCAATAAAACTTATTAACAAGAAGAAAGAAGGGGTAAAAAAAAAGAGTACTTTAGCTAAAACTTTCCATCACTGTGAATTACATTAAGATTTTTCTTAAAATTAATATTGGTGTTTTTGATCCAGCATGATTAAATATTGTTGGTGGGGTGTAGTCCTTCAGCTTGAGCCTTTTGTGCTCAAAACTGATGGATCTACTCAGTGCGACATCGTAAAGGCAGAATGACTCTGCGTTTTGTCTTTTTTAATATTCTGAGCAGACCTTGCTACGCTTCATTGGTTTCCAGTCTTTCCTCCGCGTCCACCCAAAGCTTCTGCCGTCGTGTTGCGTTTGGAAAATTTAAAAAATCTGGCAGCTGACCCTGCACAATTCGTTCACCCAAAAGCCACGAGGTATCCTTTTTCAAATCCACAAAATTCTGTAAAACTTGAAAACAAAAGCTGCTTCTAAAGGTAATACAAATGTGGAGCTTAGTGTGCTTTGACCAGAGTGATGTCACACGTGCTCCGCCTCCTTCAAGAGCTCAGATTTTCATGTGGTTTGTAGAAAATGGCACGTTTTGGCCCCATTTACAAAAATATTTAGAAATTTGATGGATATACATACTGCATATAACATTCTATCAAATTATACAGTTATTGGACCTTTTTAAGATATTAATTAAAGGGAAATGTAGATGATGTCACTTGTATTTGGTCAATTTTTTAAAATTAGGTTGTTAATCTCTTTTGATGTTTTTATTGAAATTATTATTTGAACTTAGTTGTGGCACTTGTCAAACGTTTCAAAGCAAATGAGCTATGCCTTTTCTATTTAACTCTAAAGCATAAAAATAAACAAGGGTTGTTTGTCCAACTCCTATCCAGGCAAAAAAAAGTTTGAAGAGGAAAGCAGACGTTGCCACTCCCGCTGCCTCAGTCATCAGCAGGAATGAGATATCTACTGGAGGGGACATTTTAGCACCGTTCACATTGTTGAACAAAGCAAACAGAAGGCCCATCAAGCCGTCCAAGAAAAACGTACCCGAGTTTGAAGACAAGAGAGTCAGACAGCCTGAGCAGCTGAGCTACTGCAGCAGTGTCCTTAAGGAGATGCTCTCGAAGAGGCACTGTTCATACGCATGGCCCTTTTATACACCGGTCGATGCAGTTGCTTTGGGTTTGCATGACTACCATGACATCATCAAGCAGCCTATGGACCTGAGCACCATCAAGGTAAAACAGCATGACGACTTTGATGTTCTCCAAATAATCACAGTCTTTCTGACAAAACGATTATTTCTTTAGAAAAAAATGGACCAACAAGAGTATGCAAATGCCAAGGAGTTTGCTGCTGATGTCCAGTTGATGTTTTCCAACTGCTACAGGTACAATCCTCCATCAGATGAGGTGGTCCACATGGCAAGAAAACTGCAGGTATTTTTTAAAGCTAGTTTAGTTTTTCTGAATAGATTTGACCTGGTCATGTGCATTTTACCTCCATTCATTTTCAGTAAGCAACTTTGTCATGTGGCGGTCCTGCCTGCTGTCAGATATACATTGCAGTGCTGTGGGAAACCACTGTCAGCTTATTGCTCAGCAAAGATCTGTGTAATTTCTTTGAATTGGCAACAACTTTGGTGAGAAATTATTCTTATAATGAACAATGACTGTTCTGTTTAGGAAAAAACCCACAAGTCGGTCTTAAATGATGAAGGTTGCCGCTGGTCAAAAATAAAATACTCTTATAGTAAAACTTTTTTTTTTCAAAAGCTCTAAATTAGAAATATCGGCTCTAATATAAAATAAACCAATGCACAAAAGAGATTGCAAAATGATGCAGCTTTGGTTAATAGTCACTTTGTGATGGCCTAGTTTACAAGACAATTAACAGGCTAGGGTTGGGCAATATTGGCAAACAAATTAATCACGATTAATTGTGGTATATTTAACCGATAACGATTAATTTGACGATTAATCCCCTGGAGTACCTGGACCACTGCATGCCCTAGTCAAATGACTAATTTAGTGGGAAAGATGTGCTCTTTGTAAAAATTACAGACTTCAGGCTTTACATCTATTTTTAAATTGTGTTGATAGATAAATAAATTACAGAACTTTTTCTTTTTAACGTTTGTCATATTTGAAGCGGAAACTGAGCAGACTGATGGTGGCATTAATCGTATTAATCGTCAAGTGCCAAAAAGTTATCGATTAATGTTTTCTGACAATTAATTGCACACGATACGATTATGGCCAACCCTATAACAGGCTACTTTCAAATGAAATAAAATGGTTCACAGCTTCAGTAGAAGCCATCCAAAATGAAGCTTGTCTTTTTTATAGACAGTAGAGATTTGTAACTGAACTGACTGTTCTCTGTGGTGACATGTTTCATCTTCTCCAGCTCCTCGTCTATGACATAGGGCTGCAAGTCTCATGACATAATATAATTGATGGGAAACTGTACCCCCAATTTACACTATGTTCACTCCATCTGCTTTAGCACGACCTCCGCAGCAAACGTGCGCCCAATATATTCAGTGAAAGCATTTACATGACATCCGCAGGGCGGCGGCATTCTCTCAGCGAGCTGCCAAAATTAGATTCAATCCTATTTTTGGTGGACGGTGAAGCAAGCGCTGAGTCAATCTACAACGATCATAAAAAGACAACAGTGATGCAGTTTCAGCTGTTGTTTCCAGTCTTCCCACAGAATTATTTGGTCTGACTTCCACATTTATTACTTAATTTATGGCACACTCTTGCATGTTGTACATGCTTCTTAGAGCACCTCTGTACTTTGCAGTGGAGCTGCACGCAGCGTAAAACAAGGTGGAAATGGATGATGGTGTAACAGCCCCGAGCCCCTCTTTAAATTGTCAATTCTGCAAAGAGGTTCACTTTTTTAGATCTAGTAATTTTTTATTTTATTTTTTTGTCTGGAGGAACTCCTTGTTTTACAGTCAGAGGGGTCCCAAATCTGTAACTTTGACTTGTTTTTGACCACAATCTTTGTACGTCCAGTTATATAAAGAATGAGAATGGCCAGTCCTGCCTCTTCTAAAAAATAAATAAATGAATAAAAGTGCATCGCTTAAGATTCCTGTGTATCTATAGACAATCCATAATTGTTCAAATAACAATGGCCATTCAGAGTATTTTATTGTCCACTCTTCTATCAACAGCCATTATTAGCAAAACTGTATGACACCATCTTTAAGAATGAATTTTCGGGATTTGTATGTAAAATCTGATTTTAACGTTTGCATCAACAGGTAGTGTTTGAGGCTCGATGTCTGAATATTCCTCAAGAACCAGATCGCTGTGCCGTGTCTGTTCAGAACAGGAAAGGAGGCAGAGCTGAAAGTCTCATAACTCCTGATAGCTCTGAAAGTGACAGCTCCTCAGAGTCAGAGGGGTCCTCAGATACCGTTTCCATTCAGCTTGTTCAACTAGAGGAGAAGGTTGGCATTACACGCACAACCTACTTGCAGCGTAGTTTTGAATGTTACTGATTTATGGTTGACGTTTCAGTTGAAAGCTGTCAGTGAACAGCTGAAGAGACTGACCCGAGAACCTTTGTTGAAACCTAAGAGGAAGGAGAAGCTGAAAAAGGAAAAACGATGTTGTGAAAAAGACCTTGCTCGATTAAAGAACATGTCTACAAAGTACAAATCTGTTGTAGATACAGTTGCAAAATGCAAGAGCACTTCTTTGTAAGTAACATCCCCAAAAATGATGGTGTAACTGTGCTGTATTTGCTACAATATGTTCACATTATATTTTGGTGTTTTGCTTTTTCCCGTGCCCAGACATGGAGGCAACCATAATTTCAGCAAGCCAGTGGTGTGTGAGAAATTCTCAACACCACTGACCTATCAGGAGAAGATCCAGTTAAAATCTGACCTTGACAAGCTGCCTTGTGACAAACATCATGATTTGCTGAGTATTGTTAACTGCAGGGAGACTTCTACACAAGAAAGTTTACTGGGAGAAGTTGAGTTAAACTTAGAAATGTACAAGACGACCACATTGAGAGCCCTTCAGAGATTTGTTGCATCATATTACAGTAAATGTAACAGTGGTGGCAAACGTAAGTACACCCTTAGTGAATGTTTGACTTCATGAAAAAAATACTAGAAATTGATGAAGTTAAAAGGAGGAAAAAAATCAATTCTCAGTGAAAATGCATGGCTGTTCTGTTTTTTGTTTTCTAGGAAAAACCCTGAAGCCCAAAGGAGGAAAGCTGACTGACAAAATAAAAGACAGAAAACGAATAATCAGCAATAGATGTGCAACTAAAAAACAAAAGCCACTGAGTAAGATCTTATTTTATTTGATTATATAGCGATCTCTTCATATGGAGGTTCTTTTATATTTTGTTTATTTTGTAAATGGCTGAAGTCCTGACCTTTCCTGAACGGACCTGCCTCCCATGCCTCAGTGGCAGCAGCAGTTCATCATCCAGTTCTGGCAGCAGCAGCAGTTCTAGTTGTACATCTTCTAGCTCTTCTGACAACGGTGACTCTGAAGCAGGTTAGTTGCTTTCCACACTCCTGTTCTCTCTGTCCTTGTTTATCTGTCTGTGTGTTTAAAGGGTGGCAGGTAGCAGGTTTGGTATCCTGTTTACCAAAACAATGACCTTTTTAAGCAGCTTGATGTTCCTGTGACTACAGCTGAACTTGTTATTTAGAAGTTTAAGGTCCACAAGACTGTACCCAACCTCCTTGGACGTGCCCACAATGGGGAAAATTTGACAAATTAAAGGAGGAGGATATGAATTGTAACCAAAGAGCCCAAATCAACCTAAAAAAATCCTAATGGTGAACTCTAAAGCCAAGGTACATCGGTGTCCGATCATACCAGCATCGCTGTTTGAGTCAAAGTAGAAGATAACCAAAGACACCATATCCTAATGCATATTAACAAACCAGAAAGCTAAAACTGGAGCTTTTTGGCAACAAGTCACATCAGCAGTGTTAAGGCCCGAACGTCAAAAGTAGCCACAGGACATATCGATCTGTGTAGGGTACAATGAAATCTACACTGCCAAGCCAAAAATGGTCACTCACTAATATTTGCTTAAATTGATTTTGATTACATCACACATTCAATGTAGTGTTTCTGCAACGTCACATTTTTTTTCTCTCCACAGTTTTAACTTTTTGCAAAGATCTTGTATTGATGACAGGACATTCAGGCCACTGAGCAAAACCTTTTCCAACACATCCCAATGATTCTCAGTGGGGTTCAGGTCTGGACTCTGTGGAGCCAGTCCATGTGTGAAAATGATGTCTCATGTTCCCTGAATCACTCTTTCACAGTTTGAGCCTGATGAATCCTGACATTGTCATCTTGGAACATGCAAAGAGAAGATCTATTAATGGGATAACTTAGTCATTCAGTATATTCAGGTTATCGTCTGAACTCATGACGTTGCTGACCCTGGACCATCACCTCCTTTCTTACCCCGATGAGCCCATCACTCTGGAACAGGGTAAATCTGGGCTCATCAGACCACACAACCCTCTTCTTTGCACAGTTCTTAACCAGATTTAATTAGTTTCAACAATCTCTTTAGATGTTTTTTTTGATTGATGCCAGTAATTTGAGTCTTCTGAAACAGATTGACATCTTTTCCATGGATGTGTCTTACAACATGGTTGTTTAACAAATGAGAAGCTGCTCCACTGCATCAACATAATCACCCATGCAGTAGTTGTCCCACGAGGGGGGGCTCTCACTAGTTGTTTTGTGATGGTGAGATTTTTATTTATTTTTTAATTTTTTGGCCAGGCAGTGTATCCATTAAAGCCTTCTGGAGTAACTGCCCAGTGTCAGAAAACCTGATCTCAGTCACAGGTCATAATTCCTCCACAGGATAATGACCCAAAACATTCAACTACAATCGCCCAACAATTGCTAAGAACGAACAATTGGACTGTTCTGAAGTGGCCTTTTGAACCATGATCTAAATCCTGGTGAACATCTGTGGAAGGAGCTGAAACATAAATAAATCCAACCTGTGTATCAGATTCACATTGAAACTCATGGAGGGGACAAAAGCTGACATGTTCTCATGTCATTTTTATCTTTTGATATCAAACCCCTGTGATAGACCTGACCAGGGTGTACCCCGCCCCTCGCACTGTGACTGCTGGATATGGGCACCAGTGACCCCCATGACCATGAAAGGGATAAGCGGGTATAGATGATGGATGGATGGATGGATATCAAATAGGGCTGCACCAAAAAATAGTTTTACATTAGGGATGCAAACAATTAATCGACTTACGATTAACTGTCGAATAATGGTTCATTAGATTAAAATTTCTTCCATTCGATTAATTGAAAACATCCATTTAAACCTTATATCAGTGTAGTTTTGCCTTCAGCCAGTAGAGTGCGCCACTGCTCCCTCAGCCTGGCCTAACTATCCCGGTCCTACGTTGAGCTGAGCAGAGAGCCGGCCGCCTCCATAATTAAACACGCAAATCTTGTTTAGTTTTATTTGCGACACAACAATAATAATGGACTACACCAAACTGGAAGGAAAAGTACTAAAGGCTGTACCGGACCATCTAGCATTATGACGCTAAATACAAGAGAGCAGAACGACAGAGGGAATGTGAAGCTAACTTTAGCTAATGTTAGCTTCTTCTTGTAAAGTTTAACTCCACGTGAAATAACAAAACAAAAAAAGTTAGTCACTACAAATAATTAACATGACGTTAATGAAGTTTACTGGTCATTTCCCAGCAAACAAATCAAATGAGCAGTAACTAACATCAAATCATGCAGCAGCATGAACCACAGGGAATGTAAACAAACAGTTCCAGTACTCATTTGAATGTTTATCCCTCTCAGGTCATCTTCATAGTTTGTTTTTGAGTAAATCTTTAGATTAAAATGTTACCCTGTGTTTAAATGTTAGTTTTCCATTTCTCTGTTCAAGGTGGATTAAATGTTTTACTTTTTCTTTCTTTCCTTTTTCTCCAATTAGAAACCTAAGTTTCCTCTTTTGTTATATTTTGTAAATACGTCCCAAGTTTAATATGTGAGAAATCAACAATTTTATGTTTATTCAGTCAGTGTTTAATACAGCTGGCACAACAAATTTTATAAAATATCATACTGTACTTTTTTAGTGTTAAAAAATACCCCTTCATGCTATAGAAAGACTCTTGATTCAAGAGAAATGTCAGGTTTTTAGAAAAATGGCCGCTTATCAATTAATCGTTAGTTGATCGATAAGATCAATCAACTTTAGATTAATCCATTAATCGATAACTTGCATCGTTGTTTTACGTCAGAATCGTGATTATCATTTGCAAAGATTCAGAATCAATTTAAAATGTCCCAAAAATCAATTTTTACAAAGAAAAAATAAAAAAAGAAAAACCAAAGGTTGTCAGCCTCCATTGTGTAATCACTTGGGATGTCTTGGCGTCACAAGCAGCCGGTTCTGGAACGTATGCATGTGCAGAAAGCACCAAAACAAAGAGGAAACTACAAAACTGGAGGAAAGAGATTCAACTGACCTTGTCTTTACTGAATGCAAAGATTTGGGCTCATTTTGTTTTTTACTGAATGAGTGAGAGTTTAACATGAGCCTCACTGTGCGCAAAATTTTTTAAATGAAGATGAAGCACTTTAGGAGGAGCACAACAAATGGGCTCACATTGAGTTTTGAGTGAAAAATCGATTTTGAATCGAATCGTGACCCCAAAAATCTGAATCAAATCGTGAGAGTAAAAGATTCCCACCCCTAATATCAACCCAAATATTTTCAGTCTACAGAAACAGGATGCACACAAGGAGTTTGCCTCATTGTTCCAATACTTTTGGAGAGGAGTGTATTTCTCTACTTTTGACAACGAATGTTTTTGTTTCTGCATGCAAGCTGTTGCAATTAAAGCTGGCACCTGATTCTGCAGACTGTATGTTTTTCAGTGCCTGAAACCACGATGAACAAATGGAAAGACTTTTGCCAAAAAGTTAAACAAAAGGTAAATATTTAAAATGTAAGCAAAAACCTGTCAGCTTGGCTACTAATATAAACAATATCTCTTCATGTCAAATTAAAGGTGACACATGATGCCAGCAGTAAGCAGGCGACAGGAACCAAGGATTTGATGAAGGCTTCAGTCAGAACATCACAGCCTGTTTCTCCTGCCATCTCCAGGGTTGCAGAAAATGAATGCAACCACATCCATCAAAATGCAGACCTGAGCTGTGATGAGCTGATTTTCTCCCCTCAAGGTATATCTTCTTTAACAGGTTTGTGTTCACAAGACTTGACACCACAGGGAATGTTGCCCAAACACCAAATTTACCCCTTTTTTTGGATTTAATTTTCCTCTGGGGTCAGAAAAATATCGTTATCCAATTCCCCTGATCTGAATGAAGGCTGTTGCTTTCCAAAAGAGCAGTAACTTGTTCCATTCCTTTCGAGTCAGCCAAGCAATGCACCAAGTAAAAGTGAATACAAAAAAAACTGTCCATCCACCACCATTCATTGGTGGATGGAGGCATCGCCTTATATCAGGCATGACCTATTGATGTGATTTAAGTTTATGGTCTAATTTAACAGCTGACAACATAAATCAGAATCAGCTTATTTATTGGTTTATTCCTTACATTTAGATTCATCCAACAGTTTGCATCAGTCTTCATTTGGCTGATGGTGGCTGATAAACGCTTGAAATTGTTCAAATCAAGTCCCCTTGGCTAACGGCTTTGTCCTTAGGGCTGCAAATGTTGTGCACCCACTATGGGCTTCCACTCTGCTAACTTAATGACTTGTTTTACTTCTGCTGCTGTATGTTGTCCAGAAAGAGTAAAATAAAGCAATTCAATTCTTTTGAAGGCTAGAGGAGTTTAGAAAATTACAGTACTGATACAAGATAGTTTTTATATTTTTAACATCAGTTTGATCTGTACTAGTGATTTAACAGTTTTAAAGAACAAACTTCAAAGATTAATTTGGCTGACTGAGTGATTTTTTTTTTCTTTCAGAATAAGGTTTTCATATCTTCCTAATTAACTTGCTTGAGAGAAAATTTTAACACAAATCTGAATTTGTTTTTTTTTTTGTTTGTTTGTTTGTTGTTTTTATTTATTTATTTTTATTTTTTGCATTTTCTAGCACTACAGAGCAGGGAATGTGAAGAGTCATTATCTCATTCTGCAAATGTTTTTTTAGAACATTTAACTCTAAATGTTATAATTAAAGTCTGTACTCTGTCACCCACTTGAATAATATTTACCATCATTTTATAGGAAAAGTATCTTTTCCTTTGGGTGGTCACCTCTTTAGAGACCAACATTATCATTTTTGTTTTTCTGGTGTGCGTGATTGGAAACTGTTTTTTTTCTCTCTCTCTTCTTGTACCTGCAATGATTATAACAGTGGTGTATTCTTTGTTTCAACAGATTTGTCTGCCTTTTTATCCCCACTGATATCTCCTGAAATTTTGCCTGACTTGGTCACTACCGGATTTGAGGTATTTTCCAATAATTTAGTTAGGGGGCAGGAAGTGATTTGCTCTGGTTCAAAACACAGTTAAATGAATCACAGCGAATACGCTAATGCCCTAAATGGGTTTGTGCAGACGAGATGTTGTGAAAAAATATATGCGTACATTTAGGATATGATCCATGTTGTCTTAATAAAAAAGACTTGTCATATAATCTAGAGGATTTACCCGGCGTTGAGGCGACTGAACAAACTATCTGCTGCAGGCCCTCGTATGACGAGCCAGATGAAAGCTTTCAAAAGCCTCGAAGCTACAATTATTGTGTTTCAGGTTGGGTCAAACATTTAGGATCCAAAGAAGCTTTAAATGGCTGTTGACTTGTTTCTACCCGCGTGAGATGTGGTATTGAAAGTAATTAGCCTATGATAACAATGCTATCACTAACACTAACAACGAGTTAACCTCTGTTATTTTGTGCTTGGATCTACTTGTAAATTTATTTAGCTTCTGTAAACCCAAATTTGGGTAACTGTGCAATAAAATTTCTGAAAATATAATTTAAACGATACGATCCTTACCTGTCAAAGTGATCGCTGCAAACTGTCTGTTTCCGCACCTCCTGTTTGTAGCTGTAGATTGTTGATCCACTTTTGTTGTCTTTTTTTCTGACACACTTATATATATTTCTACCAATTGGAGCAGTTGCAACAACTGTACATGGCACAGAATTTAGGTATTTTGATGCTGAATCAACAGAAGGAAACAGGGCTGCATTTACTTCCTGCCCCCCATCTGCATTTCATGACATCGTAACTACATCATCTGCAACCCAGCAAAAGTAATGGTTTATAATGAAAAGATTTGGAGTAGGAGTTTAGAAAAAATGAATAACTTGGTTTTAGCCAAATTCAGGCAATGGAAAAAGTCTTTGCTGAAGCAATGGGCTGTGTCTCAATTCAGGGGCTGCATCCTTCAAAGTGTGCATTTGTCAGCCGCTTACGTCACTACCCCACGCCGAAGCCTGTTCCAATTTGTGGTTGTTCTCACACAGCCAACAAAACCACAAAAATGAAGGCTGCGCCTGAGTATCCTTCCCAGCCAAGGTTATCTCAGGATTCAATTCGCAGCCAGCAAACTAAACAGGAAAACCAAGATGGCTGAGGTTTTTTTGCCAAATCAGTGGAGTCTGGAAACTTATCACGGACCAAATTTGTTTTTAAATGCAAGTTTGACAACTTGGCTGATGAAATTTATGCTGCCATGAGATGCTAAATAGCATTCAACTACAAGTACTGATATTGGAGATAAACCCAAAGTAGTAATGTTTTATATTTATGTCCATATATTTATTTTTATTCCTCCAGTGAAAAGACTTGAGTACATGTCCCAACACATTTTAAGGTTAAAGGCACGTGATATAACCTGTAATTTACACTACATGTGGTTCCGCTGCACAGTTCGCCGCAGTTTATTTGCACAACAATATGTACAGCGTCTGGTGCGAGGCACAGAGGAGGTCTGAGAGGAAATGCGAAATTGCACAATAAATCCATTGATAAATGTGGAAATAAGACCAAACTAATTCATTCTGTGGATCACCGACTCCAAACACTGAAACTGCATGGCTGTCATCTTTTAGAAACTTCTGATTTCAAAATAAAAGCCACGTGTATTGTGTATTTGCATGTGCCGAATGCTACTTGTTGTCATCTGCTTCCCAAACAGAACTGTACATTTTGACAGCGTTTGTGTATAAATATTTCCATATATTTATTACTATAGCTAGGATCCCGACAAAATTAGTCTGCCTTTTTTATTATTTAGAAAATATGGAGGTTGTGCTTGTTGCTTTTCCTGTTGTTGGTGGATTGACTCTAACATCCGGCAAAAATAGGATTGAATCTAATTTTGGTAGATCGCTGTCTACTCAACATTGACCTGCGTCACTGTGCAGAGCCAGTGTAAATACTCTCATTCGTTATAATGGTACATATTTGCTGCAGAGGTTGGACCAGAGCAGAACCGCAGGTAGTGTAAATTAGGAGAGAGGTGTAACATGGTAGTGCATGGTCACACTAACATACAATTCAATTCAAAAATATTTTATTAATTCCAAACATTTTAAGGCTGGACGGTCATTTTATGCAGCCTACACAGACTGCATTGGGTGTGGCCTCCATGAGCTGCAGCCCCTGAATTAAGACACACTTACTCATAGGTTCCAAGTAAAACTCAAATCTATCCAGGACTAAAGAGCTCAAATGTTCAGCTTAGGTGCATCATAATTACATTTTCAGAAATTGTTGCAAACCAGTTTAACAAAATATTGTGAGTGTTTCATTGTGCCTAATGATAGTAAAACTGTTCATCAGCAAGAACATCAATCATTTATAAATGACTGAATGTTGTCTTTAGCAGGGTCCAGTGCTATCCCCTCTCAGCGAAAGTCCATTGCATTTGAAAAATGCAACAAATGGCAGTAAGTCACAATGAAACTAATGGCTTTATATCACTATTTTCAGTTCACCAATTTGAGTGAACTATTTGTATTTTTATTTTTTTATATATGAAAGTGATCGTGCCAGATTTCAGGAGCTTTGAGGATGTTTGTGATGGTCACATGACTCACAGCAGTACTGAAAGGAACTCTGCTGACAAGGAAAAGCCAACAGTTCCTAAAAAGAAAAAGGTAAGCATTAACAAACCTTTTTTATTACTCTCCTCTATTGCCAGAAAAGAAATGGAGTAGGGCAACTCAAAGTTGGGGAAAAAAAGAAAATGTTTTTGTTTAGTTTTAAGATTAGCCAAGATGTCAAAATTAAAAACCAAAGTACTGGATTGACAAAAGTCAAAATTATGAAGAACTGAAATGGTATTTCCAACATGAAGCCTAATTATCGAGGTGGGTGAGAGAGACGTGTGATGTAAACGGGTCTTCTCAGTTCTGTGTCTGGATTGTTGTCCTGAAGAGAGACTCTGAAACAGGTTGACGTTGTTCAAAACTCCGCCTTCTGTTTGCTGATTGGCCCAGGTAAAATAAACTACAAGCTGACACTGCGCAGAAAATCGACGTTCTGTTCTCTGATTGGCCCGAATGAAATGCTCCCAAAGAAAGCCTTTTCAATGGGAGAAATCCCAGATGGAGCAGTGAAGGGAAACTAGAATTGAGCAGAACTGTGTAGGAAGGCAAGGGCCAGGCTAGTCCAGGACAGCTCTTCCTTCACGTTTTGTTTAAAATTAAAAATTTTCTTTTGTCTGAAACCAGTTGTTGAGTTAGAACAGCAGCAGGTTTGAGCCTATTAAAAGTGAGCTGATGTTCACATGATGTCGTTTGGTTTTTTTTTTTTTTTTTTTTCACCATTAACAGAAAAAAAAAGTTTTTCCTCTGCGGACTCTTCATCCAACAGCACTGATTGTTGAGTTAAAAAAAACAAAAACAAAAAGCAATATCCAGCCATCATTATTGTTGTTTATATACTTTTTATATGTGCTTTGGGAGGGTAGAGGGAGAAATTATATTCATTTATGGCCCACTGCATCTTCGACCACTAACCCACTGTCTCACATCCTATTGAAGTATAATCCAAGCTACACACACACATTTAGGGAACAGTTTAAATTCATGCTCTTAATTTGAAGTGAATATGGTTTCCTATTCTCCGTCCTGCACCCATAGTACATCGCTTCAGTTCTACAATAAACAGTTAAAAATTACTAATATATTCTGCATGCTTTCTTACTGAAGCCCTACCATAGACATAAGAAAATGATCAAGAAACAGCAGAACTTGCAATCCACAATTGTTTATTTAACAAAATGACCCAAAAGTCTGTTTCAACAAATCATCTCCCCAAACGCGGCGACATGTGCAATGCTGTGAAACTATTTGGCAGTATTATGTAAGAGTGGTTCAAGGTATCACTGGAATATACTCTAGTGACCACTGATACAATTTTGTGCTTCTGATTTAGCTTCCACTAAGATTTATAGGACATAGTGTTTTAGAACTTGCAACCTAAATAATTTTGCTAGAGCTTTAGAATTTGCGCAACTAACTTTTGAATTGGCGCTGCCCACCACTATTTATATCTCACCTCTGTTTTAGTTATCCAGGGTTAACCTATCCTATCATACTGTATTAAGGCCATTTTGGCTGGGCTGTCCAAAGCATTGTTAGTTTTGATAAATTATAATTAATCTAGTCTTTAATTGCTAACATAGCTTAGATATTTGAACCATCAAATCTAAGAATTATTAAACTACTAGTTATCAGTGTTCTTTTTCTCATGTGGTCAATCTTATTAATTATTTAATGAACTCAAAAAATTTGTGTATCAAAACTTTAAAAGGCAAATTTTGCACACTCTTTCAGTGTTTCCCCTACCATTATACAGGCGGGGCGCCCTTCTAAGAATTTCATGGCATGTAGTCATTTATATTTAAAGCCAGATCAAGTCAAGAGCTATTTTTTGCGTCCCTCCATATTCACCTCTCACCAAACTTGGGGGAAAAGACTGTGCAGAGTGAGGCTGAGCGCTGTGTGTGGTCCTCACAAAGATAGGAAGACGTGTGTGAGATTAGACGCGCAGCTCTGCTTTTAATCACGCTGTACCGATGCGACAGCTTTGCAAGCTACTTTTTCTTTCTTTAAAAGAAAATGCGACAGGTGAAGCCACAGCATGGTTACTACCTTATCACTAATTACTGCCTTTTTTTTCCCTTTCTCTGTGGGTGGGGGGTCAGCTTCACGCAGCTGCAGGTGAACACCTCCCGGGAACGCACACGTTTCCTGGACTATTTTCCACCGAGGATTGTCGTATTTTATATTTATTAAATTTCTAAAAGCACTTCGCAGGATTTCCCGTGTGTTCACGACATGAGTGCAACAAAACCGCGACAGATCAGCTGACTGTTTTTAGAGTGAAGTGCAGCTGAACCTGTCAGTCTGCAGCGCAGCTCTGACCAGCCCGGCCTGGGACTTAAGAGTTCATACATGTCAACCCCTTCAGATGTTTAACGTGTTTATTGTGCATCAAAAATTTGTAATTTGCTTAAAAAATCAGTATTAATCATGAGGGTGGGGTGCAGGTTCGCTGACCGCAGCTGTGCGGGGTGGTGGGGAGGAGGAGGAGGGTCTTTCAAAGACGTGTCTACATTTGACTTTTATTTTTTTCTAAAATCACAGAGTTCTCTGAGTCAGCTTCAGATGTTTGTAGTTATTCATATCTTCTAAATTTAACCAGGTGTTTCAATGCCTTTAAATTACACAATAATTTTACTGGAGAAACTTGTCAGTTTGGTTAAAAAAACAGTAAAATATTTTTTTTCTGTGCAGAGAACTTCCTCTGCTATAATTTATTTTAAATAAACAAATCAAAGCTCCTCAGTTGAAAACACTAAAATTATAGAAAAGATGTTTAAAATCTTCTTTCCTCAGAAAGTCTTCAGTCCTAAGAAAACTAAACTGTAACTTTTAATAAGTACACAGTGTACTCGTATTTAAATAAAAATGTTTGACCTGTAAGCAGAAAGCTTATGGATGCAGAGGCGGGGCAAGATGGCGGAGGAGTAAGATGTGTCGCGTGGGCTCCCGCTCCAACTTGTTCTGTTTGTGGTTCTCTACTAAATGTCCTTGCTGTTTTGAGCATTTGGTCTGTCCGGACTCGACCCCTGAGTGATTCTTGCCTGGAAGAGTAGAAGAATGGCGACAAACTCGAGGAAATGCAAACATTCTAGCTCGGCGGCTGTTAGGCCCGACGCCGCCTCGGAGCAGACTGCAGCTAAAGCCGGATTTTTGGCACCTCCTTCTCCCTCCCGTGTGTTCCCGCGAGGTGGACGCACTCTCCTTGAAGTCTGAAATTCTTGCCGCTATAAAAACTGATCTCTCAGCTGTGATCAAATCCGAAATAAAAGCAGCTTTGGCTGAAGAGTTTATTCTTATTAAAGGAGAACTACAAGCGGTGAGAGCAGAAGTGGCTAACAGCACAACGCTACTACGCGCCAACCTGGACCACTTTAAGCAGAGCGTAAAATAGGTGGACGACGGCTTGTCAACCTGGTCCGATGAGGTTATTACTCTGCGCACCACCGTCTTGGAACTGAAAGAAGAAGTCGATGGGCTCAAAAAGAAGTGTGACGATATGGAAGGGCGCATGAGAAGGTGCAATGTGCGGATTATTGGAGTTCCTGAGACGCCAGAATCCAGCTCCACTTCAGCAGTGGCTAAACTGCTAGCAGAGGTTCTACAGATGGATAAAGTGCCACTGGTGGACCGCTCTCCAGGTGGGAACAAGTCAGGCGATAAGCCGCGGGTTATTGTTGCTAAGCTGCACTATTATCAAGAATGTGTGGAAATATTGCATCTGGCGCAGAACCGCGGCCATCTTCGTTTTAAGGAGGCATCGATTATCATCACATCTGACTGCACTGCGGCTGTGGCCAAGGCTCGGGAGGCTTCTTCGCAACCGACGAGATGTTCGCTATGGCTTGCTTTTTCCTGCATGGCTCCGCATCTCTCATGGGGGAGGAAAACAAGAAGTTCCTGGATGCCAAAAAGCAATGGACTACATCAAAAAGAAAATCATCTCAGCGACGGACAACGAGGACCGGCGTTGACTGCAGGTCCAATCCTCCTCGATCCATTATGGCTGTCAGGTTGTAATGAACATTCCAACTTTATGTCCCGCGCTATATCTTGATTTAATTTTAGACTTTATTCCGAGGGACAACATTCCTCTTTTTGTTCTATGAATGAGCGTTTCACAGGGGGTCTGTCCAGATCTTGTTTAGTGATTTATTTATCAGTGCAGCAAGGAGCATAAACAGTAATAATACTTTAAAGTAAGGGAACCCCTTTTTTTATTTTTTTTATTACTGTTATTTAGTTGTGGCGGGAGTCCAGGCAGGGAGTTAAGTCCCCCAGTATAAGCACAAATGTGTGGATTTTTTGTTTGTTGGGTTCTCCGTGTTTTTTAGGAGAAAGGCGTGGGACTATACCGGATCTATTTGTTTTGAGAATGTCTTTTTCAGGTAATTTTTTTGTGATGGTTTGTGGATATCGTACTACAGTCCGATTGAACATACATGAGCAGTTCTAATATTAACAAGTTCATCAACAGTCACCCAGTTAACTGTGTGAGTTGGAATGTGAAATCCCTCAATGGTCCACTGAAATTTAGGAAAGTTATGACACATTTAAGACAACTTGATGCTAATATTACTTTTTTGCAGGAGACCCATTTGCGTAAGGCAGACAGTGCAAATCTAAGCAGGCGCTGGTCTGGTCAGGTGTTTCAGTCTAATTTCCAATTTACAGTAAATCGAGAGGGGTGGCCATCTTAGTTAGTAAACAGGTGCAATTTACGGCATCCAGTGTTAAAACGGACACTGCTGGACTGCTGTCATTGTGGTGGGAAAACTATATGCACTTCCTGTCATTTTGGTCTCGGTATATGCTCCAAATTGGGATGAC